GTCAGGAATAAAATCACAGAGCCAAGTCTGACACCCAGTGGAGCTTACGCTTGAGTAGAATATTAGCAATGTGACACTGGGTCAGATGTACAGGTCACCCAGCCCAGTGTTCTGGCACAGTCAAAAGCACCAGAGAAGCTTTCTTAAGAGGGTATAGCTGTCCCTTAGGATAACTCCTTTATTCTAGTCAGTTCTCTCCCATTCCTTTGGGCAGCCACTGTCACACCCCAACTTTTCATGCTAAGCAGATTACTGTCTGAAGTAGGAACCAGGTGTAAGAACAGCATATGGAAGTTCCCTGACCATTTTGCTTCTTCCACAGAAGCCCATCTATTGCGCATCCCCCTCACCTCATTCCTCAGGTTCCTGTGGACAAAATACCCCTCCCAAAGCTAACTATTTCATCTGTGTCCTTGACCCATTCATTCACTATGGTGCACCTGTCATCAATTAATTATATCTTCTCTTCCCTGCATCTTCAACATCTCCTGCTCATCTAGCTCTATGCCCAGAATCTCCAAAAATATGGTTTTTCTACCTGAAAATAGTGAATCCAACCCCCCCTTGACCTTACATTCTTTTTCTCCACTCTCCTTCCTGGCTCAATCCACCTTTTTGAAAGGAGTCATTTATCTTGACTTCCACTCTTTCCATTGATTTCTCAACCCCCTACCTCTCCCCCACCCCCAAAACAAAAGTGGCTTTGGTACTGCCCTTTAGTGCTGTGTTTCCCTGTCCCATCCACACCCAATGCAGAAACTGCTCCTTTAAAGATGATCGTCAAGGACTTTCTAATTGCCAAATCCAGTGGATAATTTTGCTCTTATCTCATGAGTCCCGCATACTCTCATTTGCTTCTACCGAACAGGACTTGGGAGGAAGACCTAGCAAGCAAGCAAGCGGTTAGGTGTGCTCCATTGAACACAGCCGATGACCTTCTGAAACAGCTGTCCATTCTTCAGACTTAGTACGCTGAACTTATGTAATGAATTGGGGGAACTTGCTATTTAAAGGAACCCTGGGGTGAATCCTTCTGCAGAGAGAATTTCCTTCTGTAAAAAAATCATTCCCAAATGTACGTGGCTTTGGAAATTTGTTTCTTCCTATTTCAAGTTCCTTAATGGGACGCACCTACTCTCAGTCTCACCTTTAGGACGTTTATGCAGAGGAATCTGGGTTGCTGGTGAAATCAAATGCATCTATAGTCTATAAATGAGATCATGCAAATGAAAAGTTC